TGAAGTATTTAAAACAGAGAATGCGGTCAAAATATTTTAAGCGATCAGAAAGATTTGGAAGACCAAGGCGAACTCTTGCCACATCGTGGTTGTTTGTAATTGGTAAATTGCAGAATTTGTGTATCAGAAAATAAACTTTATTTAATTCAGATTGTATTTTTTGAATTTTAAAGAAGAGTTTTAAACTTTAAGGGCAGCTTACATAAAATAGAACCACCAGCTTTTGAACTAAAAAGATCAAAGTACTTAAATTATGTTCTAGAATAATAAGCTGAAAAATTGAAGTAATTTAAAACTGCAATTTTACCCAAAATTCAAGATAGGCTAATTTTGGGGGCTATATCTTGGGAAGGGTCCTACATAGACCATCAGTTCCTTTGACATTTTTAAAACTGATAAACTGAAGATGGCTGAAAAAGTTTTTACAAATAGTTAAGTAACCTTAAAGATCAATATATTCGACATTTGTTCAAATACAGTTTATAATAACTTAAAAAACAGTAGTATTGGTGAAATATACACTACGTTTATGAAAGTGACAAAAATTATTACCAAGAAAAATAGCTCACGTGGTTATTTACTATTTCAAATTTCGTGCGTTTTAGCGAAATTTTAATTCTGCTCGCGGTCACCAGAGGCAGTTAAAGCGTTATAATTACAATTTTATAAAATGAACTAGCATGCGTTGTTTATGCTATTATGAATAGACAATTTATTTTCCAAAAGTTTAAGATTTTTATCAATTGTTTAGAAAATGGGCATCCTAAAATGCTTTTTTTAAACTCTTTTCGCCCTGTTATTTTATACTTTTTCCTCCCTGTGGGCACTAAGAGGGCCTCTTATAGGTTCGGCCAGGCTCACAATGAGGCGACCGGGTGGTGAGGGACGGACATATCCGAACGGACCACCCCACGAAAAATTCCTGGGTTTTCTTTGACCAGACCGGATTTGATCACGGGTCCTCCAGAACGGTAGGCTGCCGCTTTGACCGCTCGACCATCCGGCCGTTTTTCTTTTCGCCCTGTGGGTTCTAAGAGAAGAGGCCGGGTGAAGAGGGACGGGGCCCGACATATCAGGATAAAACTTATGGTATCTATCATTCATATGGTACGAAAGATTTTGAGGGGGGTTGAGTTTCGTTAGACGACCGAAGAGGGTGGTTACGGAAACTTGGACAAACTAGGAGAAGAGGGGAAAGGAGAGTAGAAATTAATTTCAAGAAAAAAAAACCTAAATAGAGACTAGTTTCTTATAAAAGACCGCCCTGGAGGCATTCACCTCGGCAGGTCGTCCATGTATCGCGTTGCCGTATATGTTTACCTCGACGATTCTTCTAAACATTCGCGTATTTTAAAGAAAATCTTAAATTTTTTCAATTTCTTTTGCATAATTTGATTTAATTACTTTAGAAAACTCGAAATTCAAATTTCTGACATTTTAGATCCTTTGTGGCAGTATCAAAGTTCCTTATTTCGCGACTTGATATATATATGGGCGTGTTGGCTAACTTAAAAATCTTCACAAATTTCAGTCTTTTAAAATTTATTATTTATTTAAAAATTTTTGGAGATGCAGATATTAACTTTATTTTTAAACCGTACTATTAACCTCAAGAAGAGGGCATCTTTGGAGTGGCAAAGTTTTGCTTTGGTCTTGTCCTCCAACTCCCTCACTGATCCAGCTTTCCAGCCATTTTTATAAACTTTTTGTTTTAGTTGATACCAAAATCTGACAATCGATCTCTTAATAAGTTGTTTTTTGTAGTTTTAGAATATACTGTCTTTCCATCAAGCACCTCAATTGTTAAAACAATTGCATTACTATGTACTACACCAAAATTATTTTTTAAATTCATTAAAAAAAATTTTAAAACTAATTGACTAAATAAATTAAAACAAAAATAAAATATTTACCATAATCTCCATTTTGTAGTTTATTATATATTACTTTTGACAGATACTCATTTAGAACTTCTTGCACATATCCTGAGGATATCCAATTAAGAAATAATTCATCTGTTTTACTTTTTATACTGGGTTTCAACTTCATAATTCTAGATCAGATTAAAACTTTGCATTAACTATAGTTACATTGTAATAATTATACTAATATGTTTTATAATAGGGATATACAGTAAATGTATATATGAGTGTACATAATAATACATACAAATTGTGGTGTACACCCTCATGGAACCAGCTCATTGGCAATATTGATTAAAGAAAATATATTAATAGGGATATACAGTACTTACTCTTATCAATTTTATTTAATTCTTTCAATTAATAAATTTATATCTGAAAGATACCCTGAAAAATATACAATTATTTAAATACAAATGTAAATAAATATAAAGTTAATTAAAAAGAGACACACAGATATTAGAATTTTATACACTACATTTATGATACTGTGTAAATATATTGTATGTTTCTAATTTATTTGTCATAATTTTAATTTGTTAAATAACAATTCTTATAAACTCTTACTATCCTACCATTCCCTGTATAAAGAGGTACCTTATTACTGTGTGTGTATAGGTCTAAAAGCAATGAATGACATAACCTATTGTCCTTTGGTACCAATTCCTTTTGGAGTCAGGTGAGCAAATAATACAGAGTGCTGAAATACAATACTGAACACAGAAATGAAATCTGGATAAACAGGATAACAAGATATAACCTGATTAACATTTTCAAGAAAATGGAAGCACATAGACAATCACTCTGGAAGATATGCCAGATAATTGGGTGCCAGATTAGCCAAAATTTAAATGGAAAGAAATCAAAAACTTTTATTTAACAGACAGTTTTCATAGGAAGACAGAAAATAATTATTTGGCAATTACAAAATATAAAATTAAATTCATAAAACATTGTATAACTGTAATCAAACATCAACCAAAAAACCTTTAAAATGCAGCTTTTTATTAACTAATCGAACGTTTTTGGCCATTTGAATGACCTTTCTCAGGAATAAAAATTGAACGAGTTTTATTCCTGAGGATGTTTGATTATTATTTAACTGCAGATTATAAAGATTATTTAACTGCAGTTTATAACTGTCTTTATGACACCATTCTTAAACAAATATTGACCGTACTGCTTTTTAAGGTTACCAAACTTCATTTTTATTTTTAAAATGTTTTCAGCTCATTTTTAGCCATCTTCAGTTTTTTTTTTTTTTTTTTACATTTAATTGAAAACGTCAGAGACGATTGTATTCCACCCCCCAATAACAAAGAAAAAAGAATGATCCCCAATAAAATGATTACAAAATATAAAAGATATAACAGACATAATAAAAAAAATTATAAATTAAGNATCCAAACACCATTGTCAAACTTCTAGGCTTACAGAAAAGCAGCGCTGAACGTCCGACATACACGCTTTTGCATTTTAATTTAAAACTTCGGCCTCAACCTCGCTATTGATTGTCGCCAGCACATTCACTCCGTCAATTTTCACTATAAAATCTTCAATTACATTTCTTCCGTAACATTCATTTAATGCTTCCATTTTTAAAATGGAATATTACTTATTTCAATTTTTTCGATAGATGGAATCAAGAACATTCTGGAAAAAATGTATGCTGTTTTGTCAAGTGCGATTATTCGTAATTACCGGTAAACGCCAGAGTCGGTAGATTAACGTAAACGCTAATGAAATTTGTCTGGATTTATAGAATAAAAACCTGTAATTGACCAGATTTTCGAATCCTGCCAATTATCTACAATGAAATTAAATTTCATTGTAGAGTTTTTCATAATAAAAAATCATTCTCTTCAACTTTCCATTTTTCCAACATAAGCATAAAAAGTAAATCTGGCTAGTAAAAGAAATGAAAACCAATCGTATTATTCCTAGGAGAGAAATTTTGCTCATGAAGTAACACCCTCTTTTATTTTTTAAGCCAATTCTAAGCGATTCTCTTTAGTTTGAGGAAGAGACTGAAGAATGATCGCGGCAATAAAAGCATCAGCCTACCATCCTAGGAAACTTAGATTCAATCTAGGTCGACTCAGATATTTTAAATGTAGATTGGCTCGGCTATTTCACCCCATTCATTAATTACTACCTGAGAAACTCTATGTGGCCTGGCCAAATCAATCATGGACTTAAAAAAAGAATCTTTTTATTGTCCTTGAGGAAGAAAAAGTTATTAAAAACAATTCGAGAAGAAAGTTGACAAAATAAAAAATAAAATGGCAACAATTGGACATTCCTGATAAATTCACTTAAAAGTTTTGATTATATTCTAATATCGAAATTTTTCTTAATTCATAAACAGTAGGCCCACCAGTGGCCAAGCGGGCCCGTTCCCCGAACACTGGGAGTTCGGTTGTGGGTTCGCGCCTCGCCGGAAGCGGCTGGCCACGTGGAGATTTTCCGGGTTCCCTCCACGTCTGTAACACCTGAATAGGAGTCAGTTACCCTTAAAAAGACCTCCCGAAAGGCCCTACGCAGATCGCCAAAGTGTTGCGTTGCCGTAACTTAACAAAACAAGTATAAAAAGTAAAAATTACGAAGTGGGCTAATTAGACTAATATAAAGATATAATAAATGATTCTGAAAGCATTTTTTAAAAAAGCTTTTAATAATATTTTATTGGTCAGATGGCCAAACGGTTAAAATGGCAAATCGCCGCTCTGAGAGACTCGGGATAATCTACACTGGATATGTATTGATACTACACAGCTTTCGATTCTCTTCAGCCGACCGCCCCATTATACCTATCCAAATTTATAATGAGCTTGATAAAAAAGAAAGGCATTCTTAATGCCCATAAGGCAGAAAGAGTTAATAATAATAAGAAGCCGCGCGCCATCCTGTTATCATCCGTTATTCATAACAAAACATAATAAAATTATTATTTTAATTTAAATTTTTCACACGTGAAAAAAATATTTTAATTTCTAAATTTATCATAAATACATAATAATATATATTAAAAATACAAATTTACAATTTTTTGAAAATTGGGCTATTTTTTCGAATAATTTTCTAGGCAATCCTGCAGTATTCGAACGCGCACTCTAATCGTGTTTGGACGCGATCGTTTGTTAAGACTTTTTTGTTTCTCATTTGAATATTTTTTTGATTTAATACATGAAGATATTTTAGCTGGGTGAGTATCAATACATGTTAATTTACTATTTCCACCATTAGACGAAAATAGTATCGTAAAAATTTTAAAAACGTGTTTAGAAAACATTCGATTTGCCTTTACATCGTAATTGAATAGAAAGATTAAGAAAATAAAAACAAAATTGAATTAATATGTAATGGTTTATATATTTATTACGAAAATATAAGATTAAAAGATAAGATTCCGTTTTAATGTAAACATTATAAAGGCCGTAGGTTTTTTATTTTTTATTTATTTATTTTTTTTTATATAATAATATCACGTGAGCTGTTAAGATGTTTACACGTGTTTTGCTGTCGTTTTCTGTCGATTTCCGAATTAAATAGTCAATTTCGCGTATTTATTAATTAAGTAACAAAGTAATTGATTAATTACGGTTTAGAAGAGATTTTTTTTAAATAAACGTGAATGAAACGTAAACGATCATTATATCTGGGTAAATCTTATCTATTATAAATAATGCATATATTATTTATTGTTTATGTCTTTGTTACGAATAGGAAGTTTGGAGATAAAATTTTGTATTACTTTATTAAAGGATTATTACATCAAACGTATCATAAATCAAAAATAAAATTTTCATAGTCGAAATTAATAAGGGTAATAAAATCGAAATTAAAGCTTCTGTTTTCGTTTTTTCATTTCTTTAATTTCTGATTTTGTATTTGAAAACGAGGATTTTCCCAAACTCGTCGGATTAGTGAGTGGTTTCGTTCAACATTTCTGTTTTCTCTCTCGTCTTTGATGTGTTGCCGTCGCCGCGTGGACCATCTTGCCAATGTGGTTAGGATTGCGAGGAACTGTAGACAGACCGGTGATTTTGCTTGCTTAGTTTAGGAACGGTTTTTCGAGAGGGGGCGAGTTTAGGAAAATCCTCTAAAAGTCTTATGTAAGTCTTGCGTCGTAATGTATGTATGTTGTATGTAGTATGTACAGTTTATATAGATTATTTGTTAATTAGTTAAATTAGTATTAAATTATAGTTGGTATGTTAGTATATTTATTGGATTTTAGATTTTGTGATTTTTTTTGTAGTGGATTTTGAAATTATGCAATGATTGCATTCTAAATAAGTTACATATACTGTAATACAGCTGGATCCATATGCCAAATATTAAATAGCAGGAAGGAAAATTTGCTGTGTACGGCATTATTAATAGTTTTTTATTGCTAGCACTTTCAAGGAATCTATTTTCGTGGAAAGCGCTAGCAATAAAAAACTATTAATAATGCTGTACACAGTGAATTTTCCTTCCTGTTGTCACATATAGTATTTAAAATTTTGCATAATACAAACAAAATTTTGTTGTTTAAACTAATGGTAAATGCTAAGGTTGCATTCTGTGTTTATGAATATGGTCAATTATTAATTAACATACTGTAGATGTGAATGATGGAATGTGTCATACTAATAAATAGTTTTAATTAATGCCAAATGATCAGCCAAATTATTTGGCTGTTTTTGGACTTTAATATGAGATGGCAGCATATCTGCCTATCTCTAGTCAAATTAATTAGTATTTGGATAAGCTAAAATTAAGAATAAAGAATATAGATTTGTTGAAAGGTTCTTGAAATTGAGAAAAAGTGGAATACAGTAGAATCCCAAAAACTCGGCCTAATGTGGACCGAAGGGTGGCTGAGTTTGTGAAAATGTCAGGTTATTGGGAATGGGGTTAAAAAAGAATAAGTATGAGTGTTTCCTCAGAAAATACTGTACTGTACTTGTATGTATATGCTTGAGAATACAACAGAGAATAAACTGCCCAAATACCCTTAATTAATTAAACAAAGGAAAAGTACATACTTTTCCTTTGTTTAATTAATTAAGCATAGAGCCTTTACTACATGTAGAAAGCATAGAGCCTTTACTACATGAAAATGAAAATTAATGAATTCACAGTGTACAGCAATTTACCTGATAAGACAGACCTCAGAAAAATACTTTGAGGCATAAAGCTGTCTGTAATGAAAATTAACTAAGGGTTTTTTTGGCCTGCCAGGGTGTGGCCGAGTTATCTGGACTGCCTGGTTATCGAGTGCCGAGTTTTTGAGACTCTACTGTATAAACTGGGGAAAAAGAAAGAAAGAATGAGTAGTTGGAAATGAAGATCCACTTTGTATCTGGTGTATGCTGTGCCCAAGTAGTAAACTGTAAATGAGAAATTAACTGAAAAACCATCTCCAGCAATTAACTGGTGAATTTATTGTAAGTTTTTGTAAACTTACAATAAGAAATGAACCCTAAATAACACAGATTCAAGGCATGGTCTTGAATAGCAAAACATCACTTGAACCAATAAAGATTGTTCCACGGTGTTCAACAGAAGAGTGAGAAGAAAGTTCCGGAATTTTTCGAAAACATGCACACAAAAAAATTGCCATGAGATAGCACTTTTGAATTTAAACATTTACTAGCTGGCCAAAACAGTTCAGACTAAAAGAGATGATCATTAGACTTAATTTAGCTTTAATTTGGCTTTAATTCAACAAATATGTATGAAAAGTTTGTGTTAAGAGATCTTGCTGTGATCATAATTATTTGAAGAAGGTTCTGTGCTATCTCATCAGTGGCTGTGTAGATTTTCAAGTATACATCAAGAAAATAATTGAAAGAATTTAACTATTCTGTAAGCTGTTCATTGCAGCTAAGTTTCAATTGGTCAGTATTGTCCAAACAGAATGATCTATGTAAATATTACTATAGTTATAGTGCAAATATACTACATGTGTAGTTTCAAATTGTGAATGTATTCTGAACAATATACTGTACAATAATTTTCCATTAACAACGTACAAGGTGTAATCAATAAATTTCCAGGCAATTTTTTTTTTAAATACTGCTTGTGGATCTTCAAAATAGTTCCCTCTTGAAGTGGTGTACTTATTCCAGTGTGTCTGCAACTGCTGGAAGCATTTTTCAGTCACTTTTTGGAATGGCCTTCAGTGTTCTCTTTGCATTTTCCTGAATGGTTTCCACATTCTTGAAAGTCTTTCCTTTATGATGTTTTCTATCTTGAGTAACAAAGTCTGATGAAGCCAGATCTGTTGAGTAGGGGGAATGTTCCACCAAAGTCATGTTGTGTTTAGCCAAATATTGATTGATGAGTAAGACCTTGTGGCAAGAACCATGTATTTGATGTCCAAAAACATTAAATTTTTTATGATGATGATGGTCATGCAGTACGTCAAATGACTCTTAACTTCAAATGCTTCAGAGTTAGAATGCAAAATTTGACAAAAATTTGCCTCACAAGCGAAACCCGGAAGGTTGTCATCACCAATTTTTACAAAATTTTGTGGATGTGTAATATTTACTTGTACTTAAACTCTACCAAAGCCACAAGACCCACTATTTGGGCATTCTCAAGGAAGTTGCAGTTAAATTTTTTCTAGAACTATTAATACCTGCACAGAAGTGCAATTTCTATGCTCATAGTGTGACCTGATTAGTTAAGGCATTGTGTGAAGAGTATTACTACACAGTTTTGGATCTTGTGTGATTTTTTTTTATAATTTAATCTTATTGTTATTAAATTTATTATGTACAAATTTTATGCCATTTTTAGTTATTGAATTTAAAAATTATTTTTCAACAATATAAAGTTTTTTCCACAAAAAATATACATACAATAAATACTTACAATTACTGTTTCACAAGAATATGACAACATTTTCGGTGGTATTTATCACAAATAATGGTTTGGTGCACCATGCACAATCATTGCTACTTCATTCTCACAATCTTTACATTTTGTTTTAATAGCAGAGTGTGGAAAACAAACTTAATTAAAATTTTTGAAAATATTTCTTTTGTGTGTTATCTGAGACACAAACCATGCATATTTTAACATGTCACAGAAAACTGGTGCACTCAATTGTGAATTTGAGAGTATTTTAATAGCATCTTCACAATTGGCTATTTCTCTGTTGGTTTTAAGGAGATAGGTACAGTTTTGTAATTTTTTGATGAAAAGGCTGACAAAGAGGAGTACATTTTGGCTGGATAATTTTTAATTGACAAGATGGAGTATCTTTATCATCTACAAAAATTTTTGTCATATATTTGGGAATTTGTTTGACTACTCCATGAATCTATTATTAATAAAAATGTTTTGTTTTTTACATATGGCTGTAATATTTCAATTTAAGTTTTTTAAAAGTACATTATTCACATTCCTGATCTAGAGTATTTAACAATGACATTTTTAAATTTAGAGACAAGCATCAACTTGATTTTGTATTGTATGACCTTACATATGAATGTAATATACTGTAAATGTATTGATGTATAAAATAAGAACCAACATTACATTAAATAATACAAAATGTGATTGAAATGTTATATGTACTGTATTTTCTAAATATAGAAGTTATCAAAATAAAAAATAAATTTTCAATGACTTTAAAACTGTACATAAAAAATTTAATAACATTAAGATTAAATTATAAATTAAAACATTTTCACGCACAGGAATCAAACCCTTATAGTAATGCTCTTCGTGCAATGCCTTAACTAATTAGGCCAAGCAGTGAACATGTAAATCAAACTTCTATGCAGGTGTTAATAGTTATATAAAACTTTTATTGCAATTTTCTTGATAATGCATGAATAGTGGTTCCTGCAATTTTGGCAGAGTTTAAGTACTACACATCTACAAAGTTTCATCAAAATTGGTGGTGATAACCTCTCGGGTTCTCCTTATCAGAATTGGATCGATTCTTTGAAGTTTGAACTGTGCCTGTACTGTAAAAATGCACTTGAAGCATAAATTCAATCTGTTGTGTGTCCAAGTCATCTCTTGCTCTTGCATTATGCTTGTATGTTTTCAGTGTTTTTTTCACTTTATTTTTGGTGTGTTTGATTATTTATACTTTATTGTATGTTGTTTATCGATTTTTAACAATTTCTTCTTGCAGTTTTTTTTTGTCAATATCTTTTAGGTGCTCTGTGAGTTTTGTATCATACATCTTCCTAT